GCCCCTATGGCCTGGACTCTCACCTCATACTCCCCACCCATGCTCTCTCACCAAGGTTTCCAGTGACCTCTGACCAGGAAAATCTTGTAAGTAATTTAACCTGAATTTTCTCCTGTGGTGTGTCCTCCTTGACCTCTTCTACATACTGTCCCTGGCTCCCTTCATTGATTCTCATAGTTCAACTCCTGACCAGATGCTGATGCCTCCTGTTACGTACTTAATTGTGTTTCCCAAAAATAACTGTGGTAAATTCTAACCTCTATGCCTGTGGTTATAACCCCATTTGGAAACAGGTTGTCTGTTATAGTAATGAGGCAAGATTAGTATAGGGTATATCTTGAGTCAATCTCTTCTGAGATATAAAAGAGATTAAACAAGCAACCTAGGAAGCAGAGATAGAGAAAGAAAGATACCAAGCCACATGAAGATTGTGCAGGAGCAGAAGCTCGGAAGAGACAAGGACCTTCCTCCAGAGCTGACACAGAGAAAGTCTTCCCTTAGAGCCAACAGCCTGAAATCGTACTTCTAGACTTCTAAACTGTGAGAAAATAAATGTTTGCTAAAGCCATTCACTTGTGGTATTTCTGTTATAGCAGCACCAGATAACAAAACATCTCCCACATTTATATCTCCAGCCCAGACCACTCACTCTGACTCCAGACCTTCCATTTTCCAGTGTGTTATGGATGGTTCCATCTGGTAGTTGATCGGGCACCTCAAAAACATATCCCAAACTGAAGCCCCCAACTTCTCTCTCTCCACTCCAGACCTTGTGCCTAATTGCCCCTGTTTCTGTCATCTCCAGGAGCTCTGGTGGCATAGTGCCTAAGGCCTTTGACTGCTAACCAGGAGGCTGGTGGTTCAAACTCACCAGCCACCCTTTGGAAGGAAGCTTGGGCAATCTTCTTTGGTAGAGATACTGCCTCAGAAACCCAAGGAGGGGTTGCTATGAGTCGGATCGACTTGACGGCACAGGCAGTGAGTTTGGTTTTTTGGTTCTGTCCTCTCCATCTTGATTTGTGGTGTCACCTTCCAACCAAGTTTTCTAGGACTGGAAACCCCCCTTTCACTCTTCCTTTTCTCTGGCCTCAGCATCTAATTAATCATTAAAACTTCATCAATGTTTTTTGAATTGTTTTTATCCTTATTTCTGTCACCCTAGCTTGGGCCCTTAACCCTTGGACTGCTAGAAACCAGGCTTCTTTCTTCCAGTCCTGTTTCCCTTGAAGGCTCCTCTACATTGTAGCCAGGGTGGTGTTTCTAAAATGAAGATCTAACCATACTCCTCTCCTATAGGGGCTCCCCCTCACTGGCCCTCCTTTAGGATAACATTTATATTCCTGGTGTGTGTGGGAGAGGACCTTCATCTGGCCTCCATCAACCTACAACTACTTCTCTAGCCCTGTCTCTCATCCTTCCTTTCTTGCTACAGCAACTCTGAAGACTTCTTACTTCCCAAATCCACCTGCTGTTTCTTGCCCTTTTCATGCTGACCCTCTGTCTAGAATGCCCTCTACATGCAGCAACCCTAACCGGATCCCATATTGCAGAATCACTTCTTGAGCCAATTCCTCCTCATCCTTGAAGATTCAGCCTACATCTCCTCTAGGTCACTTTTGTAAATGTCTTTGTAGCTTTGAGGATGCTTAGCATAAATTATTAAATTTGAACTAGACACTGTTCTAAGTGAGTTTGATAGTTAGCTGCTGTCAAGTCAGCCCCCAAGTCATGGAAACGCCATGCCCAACAGCATTGGACACTTATGATCCACAGGGTTTTCGCAAAGAGATCACCAGGCCTTTCTTTTCTTTTTTTTTATTAGGATTTGGGTGAAGATTTACAGAGTAAATTCACTTTTCATACAGCAGTTCACATATACTTTGTCTCATGTCATTGACCAAAATTTACAATGCAACAGCTCCCCTCCCACTTCCTCCCCCATAGTTACCTCCTCCCAGTGTCCATCCCTCCATACTCTTCAGCGCCCTGAGCTGTCTCCCTGTGCATAAGCAGCCCTTCCTTCTCCCATGATTGTTCTCTCCAGGGCGTGTGTCTACTTGAGGTAAATGTTTAACTCACATGCCTGTACTTTGTTTGGCTGGAAACCACAGTTGTGGGTTCAATTCCAGACCTGAAGGGCAGCTAGGGGCCATAGTCTCAGTGGTTACACCAGGCTCTATTGGACCAGCAAACCTGGTCCCCACCTTCTTTTTTTTTTTTTTTTTTGCCTCCAAATGATTTTGAGTTTTGTTCCACATTGTTCTCCCTCTTTATGCAGGATCTCCTACATCCCTTCCAAGTGGATGTCAGTGGTAGCTGGGCACTATCTAGTTCTTCTGGTCTCATAGTTGTATAGGTTGCAGATCGGATGGTGTACCAGTCGCTAGGACTGATTGTTTCCATTAATTTTGGTTTTCTTCTTTCTTCTTGACGAGGAGAGACCCGTTGTTGCATCTAGATGGCAGCTTCCTAGCTTTTAAGGTCCCAGTCGCTACTCGCCTAAGTAGTAGGTGGAACAATGTTTTGTATAGTATGTTATGCCAATTGAGCTTGATGTCCCCTGTGACCATGGCCCCAAGCCCGCAGGATCAACTACTCGGTCCCTCTGGGTAGCTGGCTGTGACCAAGCAATGACCATAACCTTGCCCCTTGTCAGCTCTACTATACACCTGGGAATTCTGATCATTCACATGAACTTATAGGCCCATTGTCTGCCAACTCTATATATGATCTTGGATACACTCTCCATTTAGACATACCTAATTGTTTAGCTTGTTCACCTATCTATCCATCCCTATACCCATGTTTGCTTTCACTGACAACTCAGTACTGTATATGCAAAGGGGCTCATATTCACCAGGCCTTTCTTCCTCGTCTGACTAGTCCGCACACCCTGCTGAAACCTGTTCAACATGCAGAACTCAGACAGACAGGTGATGGCTATTCTGAGGTACATTGAATCCAGGTTTTCCATATCAAAAAGAATTCTACTACTGAACCACCACTGCCTTCTAAACATATATAAGTTCATTTAATCCTCACTACATTCTTTTAAAAGAAGCAGTGGTTGGCACAATGGCTAAGGGCTCGGCTGCTAACCAAAAGGCCGAGGGTTCCAATCCACCCAGCAGCTTCATGGGAGAAAAGACCTGGTGGCAATCTGCTCCTGTAAAGATTATAGTCTAGGGAACCCAATATGGGCAGTTCTACTCTGTCCTATAGGGTTGCTATGAGTCAGAATTGACTGGGCAGCACACACCACCACCCTATAAAGTACAAACTAATATTATCTCTCTTTTACAGAGGGGGAAACAGCCATAGAGAGTTTAAGTAATTTGCCCAAGGTCACATGCTTACTAGCCGTTAGGTATTCACACCCAATCAATTTGGCTCCAAAGTTGGCACCCTTCACCTCTATACTATACTGTGCTCTCTCTAGTCTGCACTCAGTAAATATTAATAGTAACAGTTACACTTAGTGAGTCCATACTACATACATACTACATAGCAGATCTGTGCTAAATGTTTCACATGGATTATTCAACACAACAACCCTATGAGGTTAAGTACCATCTTTATTGTCATTTTACATAAGAGGAAACAGATTTAGAGAAGTCTATCAGCCTCCCCACAGCTTCACTTAAAATGATGCACATTGGTATTACCAGGGGTAGGAAGGAGGGGAAAAGGGGAAGTTTTTGTTTGCGAGGCATTGAGTTTATGCTAATGATGGTGGAATATTTTGGAAAAGGATAGCAACAGTGCTGGCACAACATGAAAAATTTCATTAATGTCCCTGCACTGTGAATGTAGAAGTTGTCATATTTGTGAAAGTCTTGTGTGTGCTTTCACCACAATAGAAGTAAACAAACAAAACAAAAACATGCACATAATCACTACACTGTTGGTCGAATGAGCCCAACATCTCAGTATGACGTTGACATATAATATGAAGACTAGGAGACAATGACACAGAGTTCAGAACTTCAGACCCGGCACAGGCTAACCCACAATCCTGGGCATAAACAGACCAGCCCAGAAACAGTGACCCTGCATCGCAGAAATTGTGAAACACAATGGAAGCTCTTCTAGATCCCTGCCCTTCCTCCCCCGCTGGGAGTTGGTTATCCAGAGGTAACTCAAAAGTCCTGAAGATAGAGAACAGACTCCCAGGGATACCACGGTGACGACGCCATCAAAGGGTTAATTCTGAGACGGAACAGCTCCGGTGCGGACTCGGTGGCTGCAAGGGGAAGATTAACCCCCCGGGAATGCCTCTCGCGGGGACCGGCCCACCAGGCGGGGCGCAGTCTGAGATAGTGATCTTAGGCCTAACTCCTTTAGAGGCCCCCCCACGGGGACGGGGTCTTGGGGCGTTGCTTGTCCTCCGCGGCTCCTACTGGAGTGTTAACGGCTCAGGAGGTTCCAGGCCTTCTGAGTGGGGCGCGGCGACGAGAGGGTTAACTGTCCCGGAGGGGCGGAGCCTCGGAGCGGGGCGCGGCCTCGGGGCGGTGCTGGAGGCGGAAGCGGCCAGCAGCCTGTCCCTGCCGCCTGTCTGCTACTCCGGGATCGGCTCCTCTAGAGGGCCGGAGACTTACCGGCTGGGAAGCTAATTGAGGTTTGAGGGCGGTGACAGGGATGAGAGAATCGGGGGGGGGCAAGGGTAGGGTTTCGGTAGTGTCCTTGGAGATGCCCAACAGGTGCGGACTGGAGAGACCCTCGAGACAGATGGGATGAGGGCAAGGTGAAGAATGGGCCTGGTAGCCCCGGCGGAGCGAACTAGGAAGACTAGCAGGAGCAGAACAGTGGGCAAACATGGGGCCAAAAGAGGGCGGGTAAAAGGATGGGGAAGCTTGGGTCAGGTGAGGCGCCCCCGCCTAGATCCCGCGGTTCACATCGCCTTCTCTCCCAACTCCGCTCCAGGTCAGTCCCGAATTGGAGCTCAGCTTTCAGAAAAGAGACACCCCAGCAAAACTTCGGAGTCCTAACTCTTCACCTCCATGGGCCAGACGGCCCTGGCAGGGGGCAGCAGCAGCACCCCCACCCCACAGACCCTATACCCAGACCTCTCTTGTCCCGAAGGCTTGGAGGAGCTGCTGTCTGCGCCCCCTCCTGACCTGGGGGCCCAACGGCGCCACGGCTGGAACCCCAAAGACTGCTCAGAGAACATCGAGGTCAAGGAGGGGGGATTGTGCTTTGAGCGGCGGCCCGTGGCCCAGAGCACTGATGGGGCCCGGGGTAAGAGAGGCTACTCGAGAGGCCTGCACGCCTGGGAGATCTGCTGGCCCCGGGAACAGAGGGGCACCCATGCGGTGGTGGGCGTGGCCACAGCCCTGGCCCCGCTGCAGGCTGACCATTATGCTGCGCTGCTGGGCAGCAACAGCGAGTCGTGGGGCTGGGACATTGGGCGCGGAAAGCTGTACCATAAGAGCAAGGGGTCAGAAGCCCCACGATATCCAGCTGGATCTCAGGGTGAACAGTTGGAGGTTCCGGAGAGGCTGCTGGTGGTTCTGGACATGGAGGAGGGAACTCTGGGCTACGCTATTGGGGGCACCTACCTGGGGCCAGCCTTCCGCGGACTGAAGGGCAGAACCCTTTATCCGGCAGTAAGCGCTGTCTGGGGCCAGTGCCAGGTTCGAATCCGCTACTTGGGCGAAAGGAGAGGTGAGGCCTGGGGCAGATGGTGGGAAGAGGGTTCTGTCACTGGTGGCAGTGAATTGGGATAGGAGCTCAATGTCTGACAAGAGCAGAAGGGGTGAGCCTTCCTTCATGGCTAAGGGGTGTTGTTTAATTTAACCCTCCCAACAACAGAGGTACAACTGAGGGTTGGAAAAGTAACTTGCTCAAGTTTTCTTGGCTAGTGAAGTGAAACCTCAGAATGGGGCAAGGTGCTCCAGGGGGCTCTTTACAGGAGGCATCAGCCCCTGGAACAAGAGATGCAAGGGTTAAATGGGGACTGGGTGAGTTGTACAGGTTCAAAAGGAAGAGAAGGCTGGCAGTGCTAGGCATCCAGGGTGTGTACAGGTTTCCTGGGTTCTGACCCATCTCTGACACACACCTACTTCCTTCCGCAGTCAAACCCCCAGGATGGAGTTGTGGAGGCCCTGGGCACCAGGAAGGAGAGCAAAGAGGCGGGCCTAGGGGAGGAGCCTCTTTGGGGAACCACTTGGGGCCAGGGCTTAGGGCTGATTGAACTGGGCCATTCTTTGCTATTGTAGTCTCCAGCTGCAGGTGGGTGCCTCTCCCATCACAGATTGTGAACCATTACGGCATGGAGGAGGACATCCTTACTTTCACATAGCCTCAGCTCCGAGGCATTGAAGCCTGGCCAGCTCCACTACAGTTGGAGCCACCATGGTTTCTCAGAAGGCATCAGCTGGAGCTTTATTCCCAGCTCTGACTGAGGATGTGTGAAGTCTAGCTGTGATAGCCCTCAACCCAAGAGCAGATACAGAACTTTGGGGCACCTCAGCTCTCCCTTTCAGCCAAAATAGGGGCAGGTTTAGAGTAGGGAAGCAGAAGGAAATCTGGACAGGGCCCTGTAGTTTGAAGACAACCTGGCTGATCTGCACCCCTACTTACGAAGCTTCCCCTCCTTCTCTCTCCCAGCGGAGCCACACTCCCTTCTGCACCTGAGCCGCCTGTGTGTGCGCCACACCCTGGGGGATACCCGGCTTGGCCAGGTATCTGCTCTGCCCCTGCCCCCTGCCATGAAGCGCTACCTGCTCTACCAGTGACCCATGCTACCAGACAGTGCAGAAGGCCTTGTCATCACCCCATCTTGTAGGGGAATGGGAGCCAGGCATTGCTGACCTACACTAGCTATTTAAAGCCAGTGAGGCTGGTGGGGAGGTGAGGCTGGGCCCCTGCCCCCAATATCTTGGGGAGCTCAACAGTCCCAGAGGCACCTAGAGGCGGGTGGAAGGGAGGGAACCATTATCCAAGGCTGTGGCAGCCTGGTACGATGCAACACCTTTTGTTTTTTTGAGTAAAAAATAGTAAGATATGTTGTTACAGAAACCTGTTCATTGTATTTCTTATCTTTCTTTTTTGCACGAGGGATATGGTCCTGTGGCTGCCTCAGAAAGGAAAAAGGAAATTATATGGGCAAGTATAGCAAAGAAGGACAAAGGACAAAGCTTAGTGCCAGATATTTATTTCCCCCACACATGGGACAGCTCTTACACACAACACGCACAAGCATTGGTATCGGGGGAGAGTAGCACTCCTGGCCTCTGAGGGGAGAACAGGGCTTTTTCTCAGCTCCTAGGGGCCTCATGGTGTGAGAAGTGAAGAGGAAGATGCTTTCTCTCTCCTACCTTCACTGGGGACTGATGGGACTCTCCGGCAAGCTCCACCCCTTCCACCTCTCAGCCAACAAGCAGTCACGTTGGTGACATGTTTAGTTCCAACCATTATAGTAAGTGGAGATATGATTGGCCTGGTCCCAACCATTACAGAGGAAGAAGGTGTAAACGGTAAAGGAAGATACAGTTTGGATTAGGCCATGAGAGGGGGCAGGTGACACCATCAGAAGCATGTGGTGGTGGGGGGGCAGTTACTGGGCTTCTGGGCTACCTAGTCTCTGACTCAGCAGGACAGGGTAGGGAAGATGGATAGGGCCTATTGTTTAGCATTGATGATGTCCACAAATTCAGGCTTGAGGGATGCGCCACCCACCAGGAAGCCATCTACATCAGGCTGGCTTGCCAGCTCCTTGCAGGTGGCCCCTGTCACGGAACCTGGGAAGCAGGTAGACAGGGATTGATCAGAGGTGGGATGGGCACCCTCCATCCCTATCCCACGTCTAAGAAGGGCTTTGTGTAGTTTTCAGCCTGCCCCATCTCAGTTTGGGGCCAAACCCACTCACCTCCATAAATGATACGAGTGCTTTGAGCCACTGCATCAGAGACATTGGACTTGAGCCATCCCCGGAGCTTTTCATGTACTTCCTGGGCCTAGAACAAGAGTCTGACTAAGTAAAGCCCTTTCTACTGCCCACTCAAAGGGGAAAAACCTTGGGCACCAGGGGAGAGAAGCAGTGTTATCTCAGAACACCAAGGCTTTAGTCCCAGCCAGGTCCCAGAATGGGTGACATTGGACAAGTTACTGTTCCTCTCTGGACTTGGGGGCCCCACATCATTAGCATGAGAGGTTGGCCCATGTTGTCTGTGTGGCTGTCCAGTTCTACCAAGATAGGACCAGATGAGGGTAGGCCTCCGGGGCTAGGTCACCTGTTGGGGTGTTGCAGTCTTGCCAGTACCAATGGCCCACACAGGCTCATAAGCCAAGACAACTTTGCTCCAGTCCGTCACATTATCTGCAGGACAGAGATCACAGATGGAGGGAAGGGTCAATAGCAAAGAGCTACCCCACCACCTCTAGCATATGAAGAATTATGATGGACTACTGCTGCCCCCTGGTGACTATTTAAGGAACTGTCCCCTCTCAGGAGCAGAAGTGAGGAGGAGGATGCTAAGGACTCTCCCCACCCTTTTCCTTTCCTGGATCAGCATGGGGATGAAAGTCAGGCTGCAGAGTATCTGACCCTAACCTCAGTGGCCTTGGCTAGGTTCAAAGGTCCCTTTTCCAGTCATACCTGCAATGACCTTGGTTTGCTCGAAAACGACCTTCTCAGTGATGCCAGCTTCCCTCTCATCTAGCTTCTCCCCAATGCAGGCAATTACTCCAAGTCCTTCTGCCAGGGCATGGGCCACTTTCTGCCCAATCAGCTGTCAGGGAATAGGCTTGGTGAGACACCCTTCTTGGAATAAGGCATCTCTCATCTCCCCTCCTCGTTACTAACCTCATCTGACTCTCCAAAGACGTGCCTTCTTTCCGAGTGTCCCAGGACTACCCAAGTGGCTCCACAGTCTTTGATCATGCCAGGGCTAAAGGAAGAGAGGAAGCTATGGCTCAAGAGGAAGCCCACTTTATGGCTTTCCCCTCAACTGAGTAAAGGGTGAGGGAAGGGTCCCCACGCAGCCTTCTTTGGCCTCCATCTCACCTGATCTCCCCAGTGAAGGCCCCATTTGTCACTTTGTAGCAGTTCTGTGCAGCCACAGCAATCTTGGGATCTAGCTTCTGCCGGGCAAAGTCAATGTAGGCGGTAGGGGGTGCACACACCACCTCTGAGGATGAGATAAGATGGAGGGACAGGGGAATGGGATCACAAGAAACCGGCATTCTCCAGACTTTCCATCTAGTAGTCCAGAGCCCCCCAGCCTTCACTTTCTTCCTTATCCTGCTTTCCTCCCCTTTCCACCACAGCAAGATGACCTGTGTCCACTCCCCAGCCCAGGCTGGGCTTGCACTCAACTCCTAGAGCCTTCCAGGTGCTCCTGAGAGGCCATGGCCCTAGCCTTGCCCTCTGCTCTTTTAAGAGCTGTGGCTCAGATTTCCCCTGGGCTATTCTGGGCATGGGCACCTACCAGACTCAGCATACTCTGGGGGCCAAGGCCGCCTGCCTTCTAAAATAGCCCATCCCAAGGATGGCAAGGATCTTTTAGCTAAGAAGGAGCCAATTCCTGGAGTTTGTTATGGGGAATAAACCAGAAGAGAATACTACTTTTGATCAGGCCGTGGGTTCTGTGATTTATAGGAGGGTAGGAGGAAAAAGGCAAAGGACAGCACTCTGCCCGTGGGTGGCAGGAAGATGACTAGCTCATAGAGGCCTTCCGTTTTCTCGTTTCCAGGTTGGGGAATGCTGTAGGAGCGCTCTTCATTCCCACATGGCTCAGCCTGTGTGGCACCTGCCTAGCCCTTCCGCTGAAGCCCAAGCTTCCGAAGGGAAAGGGACAGCAGGCTCCGGAGCCCCAAGCAGCTTGACGGCAGGGGGCCTCGGCGCGCCCGGCCAGGCGCGGGGAGGAGTCTCGGGCTACGTGCGGCAGCGCACGGACCCGGGGCCGAGAGCAGGTAACCCGGAGCCTGCACGCACGCTCAGCCTCCTCCCCCACATTTGGGGGCCGTCGCCAGCCTCTCTCGATCGCCCACGGGGGCTCGGGCTCCGCCGCTACCTAGCCCTGGCTCCTGGCGGGTGTAGCCCCAGTCCGCTGCCATCTTCACCGGGGCCATCTTCCTCCCGGTGACCTAAGTCCTTTCCCTCCCCAGAGTCTGAGGGCACCATTAAATGGGGCCCCGCCTTTCCCCCGCGACACACCCCCGCGACTGCAGCTGCGAGGCCACCACATTGTAGGATCGATGCCCGGGACACCCAATGGCCCTTATCCCCTGGCCGTGCAGTCAGGTCCGCGCGGACACTCGACTCAGGGAGCTCCGGCGAGGGCGCTGCCACGCCCGGGCCCTTTCCCAGCCCCGGCCTCTCCCTGGGAAGGGCCTACCAGTATCGGCCGGCACCTTGGCCGCGTTCAGTGTGGTGATGAGTTCCCCCAGACCCTTCTTTCGCCCGTTCATCTTCCAGTTCCCCCCCACGAAGAACTTCCTGGAGGGCGCCATGGTGCTGGAGCTGAGACACTGAAGGTCAGTACCACCGCGCAGCCGCTGCCACTGCCCGCTTATATAGAACGCGGTGAGGCATAATCCCGCCTCCTTTTCGTCCTCAACCATGGTTAGCCCGGCCCCCTGCCTGGAGTCCTTCCCCTCCGGTCCCGCCTGCCGCCCGCCTGATGTTGCAAAGTTCTGACGTTCCCTCCTTTCTTGTAGCAACGTTCTAGGGGCGTCGGGGTACTTAGTCGCTTTAGCCTCATTTACGTGACTATAAGCAAGAAATGTGAGTTCCTGCGCTCAGGGAGACCCCGGGCTCATGACTACAGCCCACGAGAAAGCCAGAGGTGAATCTAAATGGAGCTGGTTGGCAGATCAGACCAATCTGCTTGGCCTTAAGCCCGAATTGCTCTGAGGGGCAGGCTCCAATTCAGGGAAAGTGTACTCCTCACATCAGAGAAGCTGCTTTCATGATTGCCAAGCAGGCACCTTTGACCTACCCTGGGAAATGTCTAGCCCCACAGTTCCTGGACAAATAACAAGATTTAGAAGGGGGAAGACAGCCCACATTGACTAGTTCACAGTGCAGTGCAGAGGGGCAGGTAAGAACCTGGCAGCCCCACCCCCGAGATAACCCACTTTACTCCAGCTGGCCAAGTCCTCACAAGACTGAAGGGCCTGAGGTCCAGGCCAAGGACCCCCAGCTACTATAGACATTTGGGAAATATCCATTCTGCCCCTATGACTGCTCTGTGTTCTGCATTTAGGTCACTCCCTTGATCTGACAGCCTCAACTAACTCCTTTCTGCTCCTGCCTCCACCTCTCTTGTACTGCTCCAGTGACCACCTCTGATCTCTCTTGACCTTTCACACCCAAGTTTCCCAAAGCTCTCAAAAACCAGACAAAACTCACTGCCATCAAGTTGATTCCAACTCATAGCAACCCCCATTGGGTTTCCAAGGTTGTAAATCTTTATGGAAGCAGACTGCCTCATCTTTCTTGCACATAGCAGCTGGTGGGTTTGAATTACCAGCCTTCTAGTTAGCAGCCAAATACCTTAACCACTACACCACCAGAGCTCCTAAAAGCTCTAGGACTAGTGAAAAGTAAAAGAATTGCCTATGGAGGTGGCAGGGGAGAGGCAAAGGGACTGGGAGTTTTCTGAAACCGGCCCTCCTACTAGCTCCAGGGAAGTCCCTCTCAAGGCATCAAGCAGGACACAACTTAGCCATTGTACTTTTATTCACATCGTGTATTTTGGCATTTTCAGAAAGGATGGGGAAAAGACAGGGG